ACTCTCATGTTTTTTTTTTCATTACTACACTAAATATAGAAGACTGTATTAAACAACAAAATAAGGGTGGGTATATTCAAAAGGAGCCAGCTGATTCAATGACTAAGAAACACAATTTAAAATATGATCCTAGAGGAAAAGTGCTTTTACATAAATACATCTTCAAATTCAGTTCCACCATAATTTTGAAGCTATGCCCAATATCTCAAAATGACATTTATATGCATTTGAAATAATTATAACAACTCGATTTTCTGTTATATTAAAACTAAATTACACTACAGGAATATATTATTGAAGAAGCTAAATTTCATTAACCTTTTATGTTTATTTATCATATTTCCTCCAAGCAACATTAAAACCAAACAACTTCCACACAAACTTTATTCTTCCTGAAGCCTTTAGAGAACTTTAGAAATTCTAATTAGAATTAGCAGTTATAACCTACATTTCTTATTATTAAGTTTAGTTAATATTAACCTTCATTACTTTAACTCTTATATAGTATCACTCTTAACTGTAATTACTATAGATTTTTAAGGAAAATGATACTATTTCTATAGCTTTGATAGGTATGTGGTCCCAAATACCAGCAAATTGAATACTAAACTAGAACACATATACAAATTCTAACAGTAACATATGTAATATATATTCAAAATTACTAACAGGGTCTTTTGCAGCTGCATCTAATACATACATATTTTTTTTTCATTTAACCAGAGAGCATTTTGAGGTATTTTTTGTCATACACCATCATTAATGCTTATAAGAACCTACATATTATAATCATGGGAACACAGAATTTGGGAACTAGAAGACCTTAGAGATTAAGAGTAAGAATTCCTACTGATCAGGATATCATCATGTCTTGCCCAAACTACTGGTGGTTTATTCACAGTCAATGCTCTATCCCATATCTGTGAATTCCCATCCTCTAGATGTCTGCCAAAGGTCTGCTCAATAGTCAATTATTAAATTATTGGGTCCCTAAAGCTTAAAAAACAAAACCCCATTTCCTCAGTATAAAGTTCCCTTCACCAGTTTCACCTTCAAGTCCCAACTCAAAAGGCTGTGCTTTCAACAGCTGTACCTAACCCAATACACACCCCACCCTGTATGCACCTCACCCCACCTCCAAACTTTTCTAATAGTGTTCTCTGACTAGAATGTCTCCTTTCCTTCTTTCTCTTTTGAAATTCTACTTAAATATCAAGGCCCAGCTCAAATTATACCACATGTGGGATCTCCATTTGCCCTACTCAAAAGGAACTATATTTCCATCCTGGGCTCCTATTAAAAAAATATCTATGCTAACATGAAATACAACTTGACTAAATGTAGTGTACCTCTCTCTCTCTCCCTCACTAGATGGTAAGTTCCTTGGTGCAGAAAACAAGACCTTATTCATTTCTCTCTCTCCCACTGAATATAGTAACTTGCATATAGTCAGTACTCTATAAACAAAAATTAAATGAAATGAGACATCCATTCTCTCCTAAATTAGAAATAATTTGGTTTATTAATAAAAAATTAAAAATTGTTTGTTTTCTCTATAACTCTAAGTAATTCAACTAGAAAATATAATTTGATGGTACTCCCACATATTATTTATACATTTAAATATTATAGGAATTAGAGGTATTGTTTTTAAGTATATTTATTTTATTTTGAGAAAGAGAGTGTGAGCAGGGGAGGGGTAAAGAGACAGGCAGAGAGGATCCCAAGCAGGTTCTGTGCTGTCAGCACAGAGCCTGATGCTGGGCTCAAACTCATAAACTGTGAGATTATGACCTGAGCTGAAATCGAGAGTCAGACACTCAACCGACTAAACCACCCAGGCACCCCAGGAATCAGAGACATTTAAAAATTTCTTTCTATTTAGCAGTCTGAAGCACTTGGAACTCGTAGGTTAAACATTTTCTTAACACAGACTAGTAATGCTTTCAATGTATTTAGGGAGAATGGAGACATGAGCTCTCCATGATTTCCTTGCAACAGGAGAAAATTCTCAGAGGTTTTGGAACACCGGGTCTAAGAGCTTCAGAAATAAGTCTTAGAAACAATGAGTGTGTTTCTCCTTCCGGAATGCAGCTGAGTAGCAAACAAAAGCAAAATGGGAAAGAAAGTGGATCCCTGGAGCTAGGAGAGCCAGAGTAGTGTATTTGGAGTTCACTGGAGCCAGAGCCTCCTGATTTCTTACTGATCCTGCCACCTGTTGGCCAAATTATGAATCAAGGCACTGCAAGTGACCAGGAATTTCAGCTGTTATAGTAAAATCAATCAATAGTTACTAAGTGTTATTAAAATAAATGAGAGTATTGTCTCATTAAATTTTATTTTGGCTACATTATTTATGTCTGGAATATGCTACTATGCTTAATTATTCCTTTAAATGTCCCTTCAGAAAATAAATCTTAGTAAAAGTAAGATTACTGAAAGGTGCCCCTGACCAGATTTATACTCAAATATTAAAACTTAGGAAAAGTAGAAATAGTAGTATCACACATAAAATTCAGAGAATGAGAGCTAAGAATAATGGGAATGTGGTGCTTTCATCATTGAGGAGATGAGAACTTTTATATAATTTTTATTAGGTTTTAGCAGCTGCAGTAAGAATTGCTTCTATTATAACTGATTGGCTCTACAAAGTCCTGCTCAGAAGACCAGGAAATTCTCTTACTGAATTAACACCTGTATTAAGTATCAACAACTAAAGGAAAACACACATACACAGACAGCATCATGTTAAATGAAAGGGAAAGGAAATTAATATTTGTTAAGTGCCTACTATACTAAGTACTGTGCTGGGTGCTTTAAATATATAACCTTACTTAATTCTCACAACACTACTAGATAAACATTAGTCTACTCATTTTATGGATGAGAAAATTCAGTCTCAGAGGTTACAAGTATTATAGCTGGAATGCAAATACTTGTGACTCCATCTCTGGCCTTTTCCACTATACCACACTACCTTTAGAAACTCTCTAATGGATTTTACACTTACCTCTATGTCTCAAATGTCATTTTCTTCATTTGTAAAATAGAGTCTGTGCTTAATCACTTCTAAGGCCCAGAATAACTCTACAATTTCATGACACCTTTGATTCTTCTGGGACTCAATACAAATAGATCAATAAGTAAAAAAGCAACTGCTCAATATAAAATAAGCAAAGAACTAGAGGGAGAAGTTCACAGAAAAGTAAATTAAAAGTGTCTTCAAATGGAAGAAAAGCTTCTCAACTTCACTCTGAATTTGAGAAGTGAAAATGATAACATAGATGATTTACCTCTGAGATGGACAAAAGTTGCAGGGAAACAGATACTTATATTTTAGGTGCCACTATAGACATGAACTCTTTGGAATGCAATTTGGTAATATGTATCAAAATTATAAAAGTACACAGCATTTCATCCAGGGATTTCACTTCTAGAATTTGTCCTACAGATAGACTTATGTGTACAAAGTTACATACAGATTACACGTTCATGACAACATTGCTGGCAATAGCAGAAGAGACCAGAACTAATCTAAATATCCATTATTTAGACTGGTTAAATAAATTAGGATAAGTCCATACCACAGAATTCTATCCAGTATGAAAAAGTAACACAGTAGATGAACATAAGCTACTATGGAATAACATCCAAGTATGTAAAGTAAAAACAGCAAGAAGCCAAAAACAAAAATGATAAATACACAAATGCTTCTAGAAGCACAGACTATTTCTAAAAGGAATGTGAGAAATTAGTAACATTTTTACATTGTTTTTCTCTGGAGAAAAAGCTGTAAGTCTGGGATAAAGGGATAAGTTTATCATGCATCTTTTTTTTTTTTTCTTACTATATGGCTACTTTGATATAAGCATTTTACCTTTTTAACTTACAAAAACATTTATAGTAAATAATAGCTCTGGAGTCACTGAAAAACCCTTTAAATGTGAAGGTTACTGTAGCAAATAAGAAAAAGAAGTAATTCCAGGATTTTTTTAAAATGTCAGATTTCTTCTAATTACCTCTGATGTGTGTGTGTGTGTGTGTGTGTGCGCGTGTGTGAACTTCAATCTACATGCAACAACAAATACAGCAAAAGCACCTCCAGTGTGCAAGATATAGAAGGGCTGAAAAGGAATAATTTTCACCTCTCTCTTTCTCTGTCGCTTTCTCTCTCTTAATCTTCCAAAATTCACATTATAGGAAATGATGTGACAAATCATACAAGTGAATGGTAAAGCTGCCAACTCCAAGTGCATGGGCATATGGAATGTAGCAATTTCTTGTTGTGAATACTCATCCAAACTGAAAAAATCCTAACTTTACCTGAACTATCAATTTTGCAATAATTAGTAAACTAATAGTTAAAATACCAATGATTATGAGATTGAGAAGTTATCTATATAGTAACAAAATTATGTGTGAAACTCACAAGAGGATAAAGATCTAATAATAAAGCACTCCATTATCAAATCAGTAAAATGTACTCAGTAGGTACCAGATTTTGAAAATACAGATTGTAGAAAATACGCTTGTAGGAAAAAACTATAAAACTTCCTAAGGAAACAAATTGATAAGTAATACAAGTGTAAGAGGAAAGACTATTTATGCACTATGGCACCAATCTTATACCAATTTCATGAAAACTTCTGTGCCATTAGCATTCTGTTACATTATTTTCTCTTACATGGTGAATTGACAACTTTATCTCCTCTGCTTCTCAGTAGAAACGATTGTATTATAATAGAGGGATATAACTTACATATTAAACAAAAAAAATAAACCAATATTTTCAGATGGATAACATTTATGCAAATTAAGTTTAAAAGGAAAAGCAGCTATTCTTCTTTAGTTACTTGGTAAAATCTACTTAATAAGTTAATCTATTTATGTTTGTCCAGTGTGGAAAAATTATACATGTATACATTACTAGAAATTTTTTGCAAAGCACTGAATTCAATATATCAGAATAAGAAATTTGTACTTTAAAAAATAAAATGTACCTTTTATCTGGGTAGCAAAGTTCAGTGCCAATTTTGCAAAGAGATCTGGATTTTCAAACTTGTCCTCCTTAACTTTTAACCAAAAACAGTTCTCAGATAATTCTTTGGGCTCAATCTGAAACAAAAATAACAAAGATAAGTTTCTAAATTATTACTTCATTTTTAATTTTTCAAAGAATTCAATTTCACCAAGGTTCCTTTATTCATCTATCTACTGAATCAATTTTAGGATCCATTAAAATAACACTTTTTAAGTAAATATTCATTGGGGAAGTCACAGAATTCTTTGCGTGTACAGAAAAATACACAATAGCAATAAGGCATATAGCAAATTACATTAAAAAAATCTTCTACTGGAAAGCACCTAAAAAATAATTTAGTAAATCCCTACCCTAACTCACATACATTGTGTTCTGCTCTTGGATTTTTAAAAATGAGGAAACTAAAATTCAGAAAAGTGAAAAAAATTTCCATGTTTACTGGCCAGGATGAAGGTAATAATTATAATAGATGACATCCTCCATACCTCCTATAATGTGTCAGGTACTGTTTTAAGTGAATTGCATATATTACCTAATCTAATTCTTGCAATAATCCTTTGAAGCAGGACCTACTATTATCTGTATGTTAAAGATGAGTAAACTGAGCCCCAGGAAGTTTAAGTGGCTGCCCAAACTAGTAGATGCCAAAGATGGGAATTAAACCCAGGCAGTGTTGTTCCAGAGAATTTTGCTCTTAACCAGTGAACTGCAATTCAAAATTAGGACTGTACATGTTCCAGTACAGCATGATGCTCTTTGATATGTAAGTACCCTTACACTGCATGCTCAAATGCTAAGTGAACATATCACTTCATTTACACACAGAGATAACTGGGCCAACAGCATCTGGATGCTATAGTTTGGTGGATTGTACCTAACAAAAAAATAACTATATTCCAAAAACATGTGTACCTCATTTACTCTTATGAGAAAGTAAAAGTATATTCTTAACCTTAAAAAAGTGGTTTAAGCATGATTCTGGTCAAACCAATTACTAGGTAGATAATGTCAGATTTCTCTCTAAGCATGTTCTTGGATAAGTCATTTCCCCAAATGGTGGTCTGACTAATTGTAATTTCATTAGAAGACTAGTTCCTAGTAAACAGGGACAGTGTCAATCTTGATAATAAGCCTTTCAAAAGACATATTCTTATAATAATAAAGCAACATAACATTCAAAAGACAAAAAGAACTTTCATATATTATATCAAAAAATAGTTACGTCACTAATGAATACTGTCACCTATTCCATACTACCTAAATATTTAAAACTAAAAAAAAACCTTTCTCTAAGAACTAAAATAGCTAAGATAAAAGGGCTCAATAATAATGGAGATTATATTTGAGAATGAGAATGTTATAGTACTTAAAGTTAACAACAGTATTAAGAATCGAAATTACATTTCATTTAGTGATAGATTTCATATATTATTCTCTAGCACCATTTTCACTTTGGTTTTCCTTTTGCCTTCTACATAAATTTCAAATTATCTGTGGAATTTCCAATTCTCTGGGTACTAAACTGAAGGATACACATAAGATGGTGAACTCACAAAAGGAAAGCAAGTCAATAGTAATGTTCTCAAGCATTATACAGTTCTCATAGGCAGCAATACTTATTCACATATTAACAATCAACTATGAATGGACAAAGCCAAAAACTACTCCAGTTATAGCATTACCTTTGACCAATTGATTCTCTTCATGGGTACCTCAGGTTTATATATTTTTTTCTGCTTCATCCCATAAGGCAGATCCAGTGGTGCTCCTGGAGGAGGAGGAATGCCTGGGGGAAATGGTGGAACAGGTGCCCCAAACAAAGGTGGTGGTGGTGGTGGTGGTGGTATACCAGTCATTCCAGGTAAAGGAGGTGGAGGAGGAGGGAGAGCTCCTCCAGGCAGAGATGGTGCTGGTGGAGGTGGTGGTGGTGGGGATAACCCACCACCTGGCCCTGGAGGAGGGCCTGGAATTCCTGATGAACCTGAGAGTCCATGTCCCTGAAATATATATAATACAATGTTTAAATGCTTACAGTAAAATATAACAACAAAGAAAACTTATCAGTACACATTGTTGGTTTAAAATTATATAAACTTTAATTTAGTAATATCTAAGGGATTAACGGTGACTGAAAAAGACTCCCATAGATTTTTGGTAAGTATTATAAATTCTGGACAATGACTACTTCTGCTAATGCACTATAAAAGTTGGTTTCCTTAAAGAATTTGTGAAGCACTCCTCCAAAAAACTGAAAATTATCTTTCATTATAAATATATTCAAAGAAGTACTGTAAATGGCTTGAGCCTATGAGACTAGTTGGTTTGAATATGGATAATTAATTCAATCATAGATTGGATTCCCTTGGAGCCAATTAGCTTTACACAGAGTCTGTCTCATAGTACCAGTAACTTAGCAGTCTTCTAAATGCCAATAATTAATACTAACATCCATTTGCATGGTAATCTATGTTTATCAATTTTTTTACATCTATTATTTCTTTTCATTGTTATTATAAGCTTGTAATGTAAGTAGGGCATTTTTATCTCTACTTTATCTCACTGCTTATAGATAAGAAAACTGTAACTACAAAAAGGTTAAATGATTAACCAAAGGTCACAGAGTCTGAAATGTGGTTAAGATTTGACTCTAGTTCTTCTTACACTCAATGCGGTCCTCTTTCCACTACAGCAGACTACCTCCTCATAATTGGGAGTCATTTGCCATGAAAGGAATTAATTCATACAGATTGAATTATGAGGAGAATATAACTTACTTCTACCACCAGAAAGTAATTGAAACCCATTCTCTAATGATAATGGATAAAAGATGAAGAATATCTCATTCCAAATTGTCTACTTTTTAAATTACCTGTACCTGTTTCTTTAAGCCAGCACTGGTCACAAAGGTTCACTTCCAAAATAAATTAATATAAAAGTGAAGGTGTTTATTATAAACATTCTCAAGAAAATCCTACCAATGAACAGACATATTTGGATTCAAGATATGACATCAGGTTAACTTAATGAAAAATTTAAAATTAATAAAATTGCTTGGCACAGTGTTATTTTTATTTGGGGAGAAAGTCTTCTTATCTTTATTAATACGAATTTCCAAGTTGAACTACTTAATTGTACTAACTAAACTTAGAAATGCCTTTACAAAATAGATAAATTGAAGCATATTTTTGGAGCAATCAATTTAAAGGACTGACTTATTTATAAGAATATTAAAAATTTATCATAGATAGAATCATGGAAATGTTTCTCATAATATTTAATATGCATTGTCCAAATATTTTATTCATATATATGATGTTTATGTGTGTACAATACACATACAAACAAAGTGTTTGTACACTTAACAAATGACAATCTTCCTCTGGAAATTAGTAAGAATTGAGATAGGATTAAAATATGCAAAATTATTTTCACTTTACTTTTAACACAGCAAAATTTTAGAAAACAGTCTGATTTTTATAGTCTTGATTGAAAGCAGAGAAATTATGGAGAAAGTAAAAATATTTTTTTCTGAAAAGTTTAGGAAATTAGTAATTTACTCTAAATTTTATATATAAATGGATTTATTGAATATTTTGAAAGGTAAAATGTCCATCCATTTTTTTATTAAAAGAGCAAAATTATGTTTAACATCAAATTTTGTCTCTATAGATCATATCTAAGATAAGAAACTGTGCAAACATAAAAATGCTATCACTTTTAACACAGGATTTTATTCAAGTTAAATGCATGCTTTACAAATTTAATAAAGTATCTCAAATAAATGCCACCAGCCTTTAAAAATCAAATCATATCAGCCTTTCTCCTCCCTCCCATGAACAATTAGGAATGGAACAATTAAATTAGGCTACAATAGAGTATTGAGAATTGAATATAGCCAATGAATAATTTAGTATTTGGCACAATTTTGAGTACACTATAAAGAACTGTGTGACTCTGCACTTTTACAGATCAGTTAATTTAATAATAAATAAGCAAATACTAAATAGTAAGGCCCTGTGCTAGGGTGACATTGGGCAATGTCACCATCTGGGAGGGAAAAAAAAAAGAAACTGAGTTCTCAGAGATGTGAAAAGGGTAGTAAGATGACACAAGAAAAGAGAAAGATTGAATGAAAGAAAATTATAAAATAGATAAGTGAAACAGACTTATTTTCACCAGAGTTCCTTGGTGACTTCTGAAGTCATTTCTTAGTAGACTGATGGATACATATCTAGTCAAACAACAAGTATCTACTGAGTATCCACTATGTTAAGAGGTGTTAAAAAGAAAACCACCGGCCCCAAATGGCATCAGTTAGGCTGAGTCACCAAACTGGAGCTTAATATATAATCTAACTGCAGTTTCAACATCTCCAAGAAATATAGTCTTAAAAGGTAAGTAAGGAATTTTTCCATCAGCAGCCAATGAGTCTGCCACCTAAATCCTCTCCATCCCCTAAATGAAGAAGAGGTAATCTGCATAACACTTCTTGCTTTTTCCCCTAAGGGAAAGTGTCAAGGCCTAGAATAATCCTTTCCTTTCCTTAAAAACTTTATTGTCCCCCCCTCTTTCCATAAAAACCTTTCATTTTCTACAACTCCTTGGAGTTTCCCTCTGCTTACTAAATGGAATGCTGCCAAATTCACAAATTGTTTAATAAAGCCAATTAGACCTTCAAAATTTACATAGTTTAATTTTATTTTGTAAGAAGGTAATCTTCAATTTCTTTCTCAAACATCGTTTTCATTAATTGGATTTATAGGCTAAAGTATACAGTAAAGACAAAAAAGGAAATGCATACATAGGAAAATGACATTTTTCTCACCAACATTTTTAATTTCCATTTCTTAATATGCATTTAAAACATAAAAACTATTGAGAGTTCTTAAAATAATAAAAATAAATAAAAAGTACTGAGAGGACTTAATCAGTTATATAGTTTAGACACCATAATTAAGATTTTGAGTGTATATGGGTGCTTTTCATCATAGGGGATATAGGTGGAAATGTAAATTTCCTAGGTTTTGAAATTATGCATCCAATTTTTCAAATCATCATGAAAATTTTGTCTCCAAAACAGTCTTGCTTATGTAATATATTCCATTAAAAATATTCAGGGAAGCGTAAGAAACCAGTGTCTCATTTTTATCCAAACAGTAAAATGATTTATTTTCCAGGAAAATCAAACCTGTAGTTATTTCAACTAAAATGAGACACTGCCAAAAAGTCTGTTTGTGGTCACATTTTTCCTTCCATCTAACAAGATAATTTTCTACCATTGAACTCATTATGACATGAAATAAAGTCTATATCTTGTTTCATTACCTGGGTTCGAAGTTGCTGGATTTCTGTTTCAAGCTCTTTAATTTTTTCTTCTCTTTTTTGAAGTTCAGCTTGAGCTTCCTGTCGAGCTGTGAATTCTTCATCAAACTGCAATGATCACCACCATAAATGTACAATTAATAACACAGTTTTGAAGAAGTTTTAAACAATGTTATGTATTAAATAAGCGGAATGTGTTTTGCTTCATTGAACTCCCAATTCATTCAGAAAATCAAAGCTCTAGATTATTTTCATGACAATTAAGCACACCCCTGTGGGGATGGAGTATTGCTTATGGTATTAGTGAAAAAGAAATGTGGTCCGAAAACCAAGGTAAACAAACCTACTTTCACTTCAAAAAAAAAAAAATACAGAACAAAATTTTAAAAGGGTAGACTGAGAAGTCTCTCTTCATATATAATGAACATTTATATTGTTTTGTTATTGAAAATTAGGTTTTAGAATTAATAATTTCATTTAATGTTTCATCCCATACCTTTAAGTTCATTGAATTGGAAAATGAAATCTAAAAAATTAGCCATCAAGCAGTTCAACTCCTTAACTGTATTTAAGCTTGAAAAGAGACTGTACTTTTAGAATGCTCAAATGATTGTACATTAATACAAATGAGAATATTTCTATTACAATCTTAATTGTCTAGCATCCAAAAAATGGTGTTCCACAAAATGTGAGAGAAAAATGGCATTCTCCTTAGGATGGTTAACCAAAACATTTGCATAAAATGTTATAAGAGAGAAAGTGAAAGGTTAAATTATGGTGTGCTGTGTGGAGGAGCTAAAATGCAGGAATAGTACCAGGACCCTATGCTTGCCTCATCTCTCAAAACATTTAGATAAACATTAAATCATTCTGAACACCCATGAAATCAATCTGAGAACTGAAAGACCAAACTGCACAACCAAAGGAAGACATAAGTCAAATAGTGGAAGGTAGTAGGTGTGGAGATCTGATCTGGGGGCAAAAATAATTGTGGGTGCTGCACTGGGGAGGGAGCCCTGATCACAGAGGGAGTGGGGGGAGAGAGAGAGAGGGAAGGGAAAGGAAGGGAAGGGAAGGGAAGGGAAGAGAAGGGA